TTTTAGTCTTTCAGTCTCAGCATGATTCTGCATCAATTTTGCAGCTTCCAGCCTCTTGGACTGAGTAGCTGCTTAATTTTCTGGTTCTCCAGCATGCAAATGGCCAATGAGGACTATCTGCCTTGATTCTATAAACCTATGTAATAATCTATGTGTGTGTGTATATATATATATATATATATATATATATATATATATATATATATGTATGTATATATATCTCACAAAAACTCATTCTGAAAGTTCCTGTTTTGTATTTTGCATTTCCAGGGTCTTTTATTCAGGGGACTTCGATTTCCCTCACTCGCTTCTCTCACTGAATGCCTCAATGCTAAGAACTGCATGAGGGGATTCACAGTGTCAGTTCAGTAGCCCACTTTTCAGCTCTTTTAATTTTGGTATATAGTGCTTAAGAGAACCAAGCCTCTTTGACTGCTGTCTTATGAAGTTGCTCTGTTAGAATGTTGCTGCTACCCCTTCCTTGAATCTGATCTTTGCAGGATCGACAGTGAATCAGTGCTGCCCATGTTCGCTCTTCATCTGTAGGGCCCCAGAGAAAAATTGGGTGAAATTTCTTTGCTTCCTAGGACACTGTCCTCTCCAGGTTTTTATCCTTGCTCTCTTCTCAACTATGTGCAGGTTCTTCCTCTTCTCCTAAAATAGAATATGTCAGGCAGTACTAGGGCCCAGTTCTTCAACTCACAACCAGTTGCGCTCACTCTGCTGATATTTTTATATATCTTAGTGGCTTTATAGAACTCAGAACATAGCTTCTTTCAGTAGGAGAATTTTTAACCCACTTGGGGAAAGGTATCCTACTCGCACAATAACTAATAACATTTTTGAAACATGAAAACAAAGAGAAAAAGAGGTATTGCTGGAGTCATACAAGTAGGGCTTAGAAAAGTAAATAAGAGGGCAAAAATTTCATTAGTACAGATGTATAGTGCTGTTAACTTTCCCAGGAAAAGCAAATCATATTCTTACACTAATAGGTAACAAAAATGAGTGGCAAACCCAAATCTTGTCTACATGAATTTCTTTCTTGTGTCATCACAATAGTCAAAGAAACATTTTTACAGTGCTGAAAGCATGTGTGTTCCAAAAACGCAAACCATCAGCACGCCCTCATGGTGTATTTAAATGATTTGTAGGGAAAACAGCAGGTGGGAAGATTGGTTCCACATCTGGGAATGGAATTCTGTTTCTTGAAAAGCATCCCGTAGAATTTCCATTTGTGAATCCTCCATAATTTTGTCTGATAATGTGTAATATGTCCTCATTTCCAAAGTTTTATTTATTTCTACCATTATTACTTTTAAAAAGTAAGAAATTTAACTTTTGGTTAAATTTATTGTATAAAATGTACCCTTTTCAAGTGCATGGTTTGATGAACTTTAATAATTGTATGCAGTTTTACAGTAATAACCATGATCAAGGCATGCATCTCCAAATTATTTTTCACTCTTACAGTCAAATTATAGACAACTTGTTTCTGTGTTTTCTGTGTTGGTTTGGTCCATTTTAGGGCATAATATAAGTGGAATCATGGTATATATACCTTTTTTGCTAGAACTTTTCCAATCAACTTCTTGTTCAATAGTAATTTATCTTTTTGTGTGTATGAATGCTGCTTTTATTGCTTGTTAGTATTTCATTCTCTGAATATTCCACAATTTGTTAAGTTTTTGCTCAGTTAAGATGTATTTACATTACTTCCTGTTTTGGCACTAGTTAAGATATATTTACATTACTTCATGTTTTGGCACTAGTGGATAAATTATGGTCATTGTTATTTATATTGAGTAAATACATATGAGTGGAATAGCAGGATAGTAAAGAATATATGTTGGAATTTATAAGAAAGTATCGAAAAGCTCTTCAATGTGGCTAGATTAGTTTGTATGGATAACAAGTTTGTATGGATAAATGAGTGTATCAATTGCTTTGGCTTTATATGTTTTCCCCAAATATGGCGTGCTCGTCTTAATTTCAGAATTCTATTGGGTTTAGAATGGGATTTCATTGTACCTTTATTTACATTTTCCTTTAGCAATTATGTTGGGCCTCCTTTTATGAGGTTTTAATAGCTTGTCCAGGGGACTTTCTAAATCTTTTACCTGCTTCCTATAAATTTAATTTTTCTTAGTGTTGACTTGAAAGAAGATTTAGTATGTACATACACATAAAAAGCAGTCCTTTATCATCTCCTTCTATAAATATGTCTCTGTATATTTTCCTTCAAGTCTATGGTAAATATTTCTGTCTTAATGGTCTTTCCGTAAAGTCTAATTCATCACTGTTTTTTCTTTTGTGAGTGGAACAGCTTTTTATTCTAAGACATCTTTTCCTCTTTGAAGGTGAAACAATTATCTCTTTTTGTTCTAAAAGTATTACCTTCTGTGTTTAGGTTAAAAATCACTTCACTTTGTGTGTAGTGTATAATAAGGGATGAAGTACATTCTTCCTTACTGTTACTCAGTTTTCATCATTTCTTGAAGGAAATTTTCTTTATGATTAAAAACCTTTGGGTTTCTTTGTTGAAAGTGAACTGAGGAGCCATGACTAGGTCTGTGACTAGATACTTCATTCTGTCCATTGATCAATTTTTGCAAGAAAACCACATTGATGTACCTACTTTAACTCTCCAGTCTTGAAATTAGGGAAGAATTTTAAATTTTGACCCAGTTCTATTTACTAATTTCCCAATTTTCTGCATCATGCCTGTGGTGTTATATCTAAGAGACCAGCTTAATCCAATTTTGAAAAATTTTTCTCTTTTGTTTTCATGTAAAAGTTTTATAAATTCTAGTTTTCACATTTTGGTTTAATATCAATTTTGACTTAATTTTTGTGTATGGCCTGAAATATGCACCTAAGCTCACCTTTACATATTTGGATATTCAGGTTTCATAGCACCAGTCACTGAGAAAAATGACAATTTCTCATTGAACTGCACTGGTATCTTTGTCAAAATCAATAGAACATTAATGTAAGTACAAATTTTCTGGATTTATGTTTGTTTCATTGATCTATGTTTTCTGAGATACTACAGACTGATGTGGCACTGAGCTACATCATCAATCTTTCTGTATTTTTATTTCAAGACAGTGTCTCATCAAGATGCTAAGTTGCCCTAGCTAGGCTTGAATTTATGATCTTCCTGCCACAGTCCCCCAGAGTGCTGAGATTAAAATGCATGCTACACCACACACAGATCTCTGTATTTATTTTAATATTTATGCCATACCATCTTAATTAAGGTAGCTTTGTAATAACTTTTGAATTCACAAGCTATAATGCTCCAACGTGGTTCTCCTGTAAAAATAATTTTGCCTCTTGAGCATTTGAAATTTCCATATATGTTTTTGAGAATAAGTTTTTCCTTTCTGCAAGTAAAAACAAAACCTGCTGGATTTGATACTTAAAATTTAAACAGACTCTTCACCTAGAAAAATTTTGTTGTGTTGGATTTCTGTTCATTTTATCTTTCTACCTTATAGAGCTGATTTATTTAAAATATAATTTTAGGCATAGTTTCTCATGTCCTAGCTGCTGCAGAAAGTTACCTTTTCATCTCTTGTATTCCTTGCATTTTTCTTAAATAAGTTTCTTGTTTATTCCTTTTTTTTGTTTTTTGGCTTGGTGTGTACCATGTGAACCTCTACATACACTTGAGCTGCATCTTGAAGACCTGACAGATGGCTTTTAAGTATACATAATGCAGAATTACATGAATAATCCATAATCCCTCCTCTTGCCATATACTACATAGGAAAAACTGGAAACACTTCACACAGTGAGTATATGTAATCCTCACAAAGGTCACCCGAAGAAGCTATTACTTTACTCTGCATCGTTTTCTGATGATAACACTGAAGCAGAGTGCAGTTGTAAAACTGAGTCCAACGTCAGAGCTGCGTGAAAAGAGAATCTGGTTTTCTGTTCTGGCTGTCAGACTCCCAGATCCTTTGACTAACTTCAAGGAAATAAAATCCATAACATAAGGTTAATTTTAGCATTTATTAATCTTAAAAAATTGTCATGAAAAAATGATTTAACTAGTGAACAGCAAATCTCAGTATTTGCAAATGGAGTATTCTTGACTCTGCAATGGAAAATACATGTTCCTTAAGGTGGCCACAAAATACTTGGAAAATTGCTGATTATTTTAGTGAAATAATTAATATTTAAATATTAATAGGACTGAGGGGAGTAACCTTATTAAAGTTCTAAGAATGAGAGATATGTTTGAGAGATGATAATATATTGAAAGACTTGGAATGGAAAAGCTCTGCTTGCACCTCCTTGACCTTCCCAAAAGACATTTTCCACTTGGAGATTACAGGAAAATAATTTCTTCTGTTCCTGGTGTGTGTGTGTGTGTGTGTGTGTGTGTGTGTGTGTGTGTGTGTGTGAAAACCTTTCAGAATACAGTCATTCATAGGTATTACTTTTCATTTACCTGGATTTATGGAATATTGCTCTTCTTGAAAAGAAAATGCTGGATACTTTATGTGTTAACCTGGCATTAAAAAGATAAATGCACAGGGTTGATGATTCTAAATATGGCTAATTCATCAAACCATTAAAACACTTATCCTTTGAGTTGTAAAATTTTACTAAGAGACAATTACAGTGATGAGCACAAATTATAGAGAGGTGAAACTAGGAAAAATTGCTGAAGGGTGAAAGAAAATGTGTCTTTATTTGCATGACAGCAAATAAAAGTGCTACGATCCATACCAACGTATGACAGGGAGCAGGAATAAGAGTTAATTTGAATAGTTTGACAAAACACTGTTTTCCATAAAGGCAGCGCTGAGTTCATTTAAGCAACATACACTTGTGCTTTCCTGCTTGATGCTGGTCGCAGAATTTGAGAAAGACAAAATGTAACTGCCTATCGAAAAGTCAGATGTACACGAAATTCAAAGGCAAATTTTAAAATAATCACAAACAGTGATCCTAGGTATGTTTTTCTTTTTATTCGTTTAGTCATGGTAAGTGCTGTACAGAGCATTTTGACCATCGTTGTAACAGCAGAGTTTGTTGTTGGAAATTTTGCCAATGTCTTTATAACTCTGGTGAACTGCACTGACTGGGTGAAGAGAAAAAGGATCTCCTCAGTTGATCGAATTCTCACTGCTCTGGCTGTGTCCAGGATTGGTTTGCTTTGGGTAATGTTCCTAAGTTGGTCTTTCACTCTGTTTAATCCAGCTCTAAAGAGTGGAATGATTGCTCATTTTTTCTGGACAATAACCAACCATTTTAGCACCTGGATTGCTACTAGCCTCAGTGTATTTTATTTGCTCAAAATAGCCAGTTTTTCCAACCTTATTTTTCTTCACCTGAAGAAGAGAGGTAACAACATTATTGTACTGATACTGCTGTGGTGTTTGGTATTACTTGTTTCTAAACTGGTAATTTCTGTATATGACATAACAGGGCTGAAAGAGCACAAAGGAAATCTGACTTGGAAGAGAGAGCTGGGGAACACTGTCTACCTTCCAATCAGGGGTGCACTCACTGTAGTGTACTTCATACCCATTATTATATCCATCGTCTGTTTTCTGTTGTTAATCTATTCCCTTCGTAAACATCTTAGACAGATGCACCAGCACAGCAAAGGATCTCAAGATATCAGCACTGAGGTCCATGTGAAGGCTTTGAAAACTGTAATCTCCCATCTTTTGTTACTTATCATGTACTGTTTGTCTATCCTCATATCGCATTGGAACTTTACTATACTTCAGAATGAATCAGTTTTCTTGCTTTCCAAGATTACTGTAATCTTATATCCTTCAAGCCATTCGTGTATCTTGATTTGGGGAAACAGGAAACTGAAACAGGCGTTTATGTTGGGTGTGCAGCAGGCGAGGTGCTGGCTGAAGGAAAAGGAACCTTCAAGTCCTTATCAACAAGAATGACGCTGTGTTCTTCCAGCAGAATCCAGTCTGAGACATTTTGTGCCTCTTTCTACTTTATCCACAGTGATTCTAGGACTTTCTAAAGATTTTTTGAATAAACCTGGTAGATAAATTTATTAAATGAAAGAATATGTGTTTCTGTGCTAGGGTACATGTGTGGAAAACATAAGAAAAATTATTAATAATATACCCTTAAATATTTTTATGCAAAGGAACTAATTATACAAAATATGGTTAGAAGTATATCAGAATTATGAAACCAAACTGTTTCACATAGTCTGTTATTCTCCTTTTGAAAAAATGATGATTTATATTTATGCCTTGTATAGTACTATTAGTTTGTCTTAGAAATCATTGCTGTTTTCCCTGTTCTTTATATTGTATGTAAATTTGTGTTTAGATTTCAACGTTTGAACTCTTAACTCAGGTGTCAAGAACACTCAACTCTGAATTACATATCAGAGATATATGTTTGAAACAGATTTTATTTCTTAAAAACTCTTTTCTCCTGTTTTATAGAAACTAAAGGTGTTATTATAAAATATGCAACCAATAAAATTTTAGAGCATCAAACATGTATGGTGAATTTAGTATGCGACGTAATATAGCATAGAAAAATATAAGACAATATATGTGTGTGAAAAGCTCACAAGAATCATATCTACATAAGGTATGAAGAAGGCAGTACCGTGCACATTACCTAACATTAATGCTGGTATAGTTAATAAGTGCAGTACACTCGTTTTGTGCTTTTTGAAGTGAAAAAGACCTTTTTAAAAGTTGTGGCCTTATTTTAAATATTTTGTTTTTCTTTTAAAGCACATCTGGGCCTTTTGATTGCCAATCATTTCTTTCATTTTCCATTCTTAAAATTTCTTTTTTTGTAACTTTTTTTTTCCTGTATCAGGAATCTAACTCACGACCTTGCACTTGCCAAGCAGGCGCTGTGCCGCTGAGCTAAATCCCCAGTCCCTCTTAAAATTTCTTTAAAACTTACCATATGATGACTGCAACTTTCCTCATCTTAAAGATTTCTCATTATAAAAACAATACATAAACCATTATAAATAATTCAGTGAACCTGTTCAGTCATTAAAATGTGAAGTTGTGGGGAATTTTTGAAAGAACTGGTTTCATGTAATCTTGTGCAAAATGTGGAAATGAGAGAAATTCTATTGACATAATTGTTAATGGCAAGTTCTATTGTATGAAGAAATGTATAACCTGGCTCAATAAGTGATTCTGTCTAAGTAAATTAGCTCTTGATGTTATAACATGTTACGTAACATAGATGACCTGAACAGCTGATTTACTTACATGTGCATTTATCATACATTTCCCCAATATGCTAGAAACAATATTAAAGCTGAGATCACTTGTGCCTTATATTTCAGGGCCTATAACTAGGTCCATAACTAGTTGTCAAAAATCATGTTTTTCTGAATAAGAAATAAATGGAGCAATGAATGAAGTGCGGGTTGGTAAACCAAGAAAAATAAAATCAAACAAAAAACCCGTAGTTGCATAGATTTCTTTGCTCTGGTTTCATGTTGTGGTTGCAAGCGTATTCAAGTAAAAGGATTTCTCAACAGAAGGACTAGATAGTCCTCAGTTCTAGGGAGAATATCACTAGGATATAGTCTTGATGCTGCTATATGAGGAACTTCGAGTGCAGACCATACAGAACACTAAAATTAGATGGCATTTACAGTAACACAGTAGTTGTAAAATAACATGTAAAAGATTTTGTTAAATTAGATACATTTTTATTGTGAATGAAATATCATTATGATATTTTCTCATTGCCTGTTTATACTCAAAGTCACATGTTAAAAATTTCATTTAGTACCCAACCTCATCTTTCCTTTACTTTTCTTTCTAATTTTTTTCTTTACCCCTTTTCTTTTCCTTTCTTTTCTCTTTTCACTTCACTTCACTTCTCTTCTTTCTCTTCTCTTCTTTTCTTTTTTGTTCCTGAAGTGCAGGAGAAAAAACCCAGAGTTTTCAACATGCTAGGACGTGCTCTCCTACTGAGGCATGCTTCTGGACCATCCAGTTTCATTCCTAAAAATGTTAGCTTTATGTAATTTTTTTCTATTACACTAAGTAAAATTTTTGTTACTACACTGCAAACTATGAGAAGAGTTAAGGAATAAAAAATGTAAGGTTCAATTAATGTTTTACTTTGAGCTGCAATTGGAAACACGGGCCCATACTAAATGATGTTGAGACAGGAGGACTGTAAATTCAAGCTGTATCTGGACAAATAATTGAAACACTACCTCAAAAAAAAAAAAAAAAGTAAAAGAAGGCTGGGGATGTAACTCAGTGGTTGCATCCCCCTGGTTTCTATCCATAGTACTAAAAATATTACAGTTATATATACATGAAATAATTTCCTAACCTAAAATGTGTCTAAAATTTCAGATGATGAAAACTTTCATACAGACTTGAAATGAGATGCACTAAATCCATTATTTTACATGTAAGACCCAATGTTGAGACCTTTTTAGAAATTTCTCAGAATACTCAGTCTACTTTATTCTAATTACTCTATTTATATTATTAAATTCAGAATCAATAAATCGGAACACATTTACCTTTATTATGAATACTCAATCTACATTTGGAAATACATTTGTATTTTTATGCCCATCAACTGAAGAATGGATAAAAAAGATGTGGTATTTTTATAAAATGCAGTGTTACTTAGCTAGAAAGAAAGATAAATTCAAGGCTTTTATAGGTAAATGGATGCAACTAGAGATGATACTCATAAGTGGAATAAATCAGACTTACACGTTTAAACATCATATTGTCTTCCTAGTGTAAGAACCTGAAAGTGCAAATAAAACCTAAAAGGTATTGTGAAAGAGAAAGAAACTGCTCAAAAGAAAAGAATGAATGGGATGAGGAAAAAGAGAAAGGAAAGAAAGGAA